TTATAAAGTCTTCCACCAACTGGCTGATGTACAGTGCGTTTCTAAAGTCTTGCACTAACTGGCTGATGTACAGTGTGTTTATAAAGTCTTCCACCAACTGGCTGATGTACAGTGCGTTTCTAAAGTCTTGCACTAACTGGCTGATGTACAGTGTGTTTATAAAGTCTTCCACCAACTGGCTGATGTAGTGTGTTTATAAAGTCTTGCACCGACTAGCTGATGTACAGCGTGTTTATAAAGTCTTGCACCAACTGGCTGATGTACAGTGTTTATAAGATCTTGCACAGACTGGCTGATGTACAGTGTGTTTCTAAAGTCTTCCACCAACTAGCTGATGTACAGTGTGTTTCTAAAGTCTTGCACCAACTGGCTGATGTACAGTGTGTTTATAAAGTCTTCCACCAACTGGCTGATGTAGTGTGTTTATAAAGTCTTCCACCAACTAAACACACTGTACATCAGCCATTTTATAAACACACTGTACATCAGCCAGTTAGTGCAAGACTTTAGAAATGCACTGTACATCAGCCAGTTGGTGGAAGACTTTAGAAATGCACTGTACATCAGCTAGTTGGTGGAAGACTTTGTACATCAGCTAGTTGGTGGAAGACTTTATAAACACACTGTACATCAGCCAGTTGGTGCAAGACTTTAGAAACACACTGTTGCTGTAAGTATGAATAATAAACTAAAGAGTTATCTATGTTTACCAGCTGTAAGTATGAATAATAAACTAAAGAGTTATCTATGTCTACCAGCTGTAAGTATGAATAATAAACTCCAGAATTACCTATTTTTACTAACTGTAAAAAACAAAAACTTAATATATCTTGTTCACTGTTCTCCATATGTTCTATGTTGGTATTTGCAGAACCCAAACAAACACTAGATAACTGTTATTTCTGTTTCCATTTGTTCTAGTATGTGTGGAGGTTCTTAATAAAATAACCAGTCAATGTAAGCGACTTATATACGTGTTGAGATAGTAAACTTTTTTATTTCCAGTAATATGTTTTACGTGTTTGCAGTAAATGTGTAAATACAAGAAAGTAACTCGCTGAACACTAGGTCTAAAAGTGACTGTACTAGAACATTGGTTCTTTATAAGAACTCTATTGCTACAATGAATGATCTTAAAACAATCTATTATTAACTATTCGTATTGAAAACAATCTCTATAAAAAAAAATCTGTTTTAATGGTTGTGTCAAAATTCTGTCATTATTTGACTCATTTTTCTCACTTTGGCATTACTCGGTAAGAACATCTTGTAGAACATATCAAACTATGATATTAATTAGCTCATTTAATATGCACAATTATAATAAAATGGTTATCAAATATTGTAGAACATATAATATTAATTAGCTCTTTTAATATGCACAATTATAATAAAATGGTTATCAAATATTGTAGAACATATAATATTAATTAGCTCTTTTAATATGCACAATTATAATAAAATGGTTATCAAATATTGTAGAACATATCAAACTATGATATTAATTAGCTCTTTTAATATGCACAATTATAATAAAATGGTTATCAAATATTGTAGAACATATCAAACTATGATATTAATTAGCTCTTTTAATATGCACAATTATAATAAAATGGTTATCAAATAACTACATCACAAACCAGTATAATTTCTGTAAACAAAAATAACAATAAGATGCAGCACAGTTTTACTTGTTTCAAAGTCTTATGGTGCCACCTGGTGACTACTTTTTATGTGTATCACTTTGTTAAAGTTATCCTGGGCAAGACTTTATAAACACACTGTGGGTAAACATAGAT